GGCAGTTTCAAGGTCAGGGAACATAGCTGATCTCTGTCTCCTTGAATCAGACTGATGCTTAGTAGAGAAAGTAAAAAGAGAACTACTGTAAGCGTTTACATTTATCAGTAAATTGGAACCTTAAGAGTAACATGCTAAGGACATATTTTCTAGTGATAAGCTTGTAAAACTCCCAGAATCAGAGCTCTTATATTTTGAAAATCACAAAAATACTATACCACAGAATGATTGCCCTGTTTGAGGTAGGAGCAAGAGGCTTTGCCCCAGTGGTCCTTCTACTCTTGGAAACTACAAACAGGGAAGAGGTTGCTCCACCCAATTCCCCAGAGTCCAGTCTGGGGCAAATACAGGGAGTCTTTCCCTGCTGCTCCATTCCCTGCTGGGATCAGGAGTGACTAGGCACATCTCCCCAGCCTTCCGCAGATTACAAATCACCCTGGTCTCAGAAGGCATGGAGGGCATGGGAGAAGAGGTGGCTGTAAAAGGATTTCAACTCCAGTGTCACAGTGGCCAGGAACTGCACCATTGGAGCAACAGCCCAAGTTCCAACTTTTGCTGAGAGACTAGTAGCTTCACCAGCATCACAAGCAGAAGCCCCTTTACTGCAACCTGATCCTAGGTTCTAGGCTTCTGGCTGTGGTGCCAGACTGGCAACAAGTGCCCCAGCAAGAAAAAGGTATGGGGTTCCATGGCAGCAGCCCATGCCCTGGTGAGAGTGGAAAATCTCTGTTACCTGGCCATGGCAGGGCTTTCTATGGCTGTAGACAGTTCCCTGGCTTTCACTGGGAGGCAGACAGCTTCACTGGGGCCAGTGCCTGCTGAGCCAAGTCTTTCGTCCTGGCTTCAGTCACAATAGCAGGGTTTCTGCCAACCATGCTGCTCTCCCCAGGGTGCTGCTGCAGCTGCCATGGCAATCCCCACCACTGCAGCCAGAGTCAAGGCAAAAGTTTGGGGCCAGATGACCCAGGTGACTGGGCCATGTTTGACATCCTTGACATACATTATAAGTTTTTCAGGGTGAAGGCAATCTCTGAGACTGAGTTCTGCTGTGTGAGCACTGCAGTCGCAGTATATTACTGCAGAAGAGAGAGGCAGCAGCGTGAGTGAGCACAAGCCGAGTATCAGAGAGATCTGCTATGGAAAGTCCACTAAAGAGCCATAAATCTCAGAGAAGAAAGCCTTGGAAGAGCTTCAACATCTATTTCAGAACAAGCCAAAAGCCCATGGTGGAGCAGTGTAACCTCACAGACATTCCCCCAACCAGCCTCCGAGCAGCTGTACTTAAACATCTAAACTTGAAAAAGCAACTTAGGCTCCCCAACTGCAAAGAAATCGCCCACACACTGAACTGAGTTAAGCTTTGCCTCCGCACGGACTACCGTTTCTCATCTCATTGCCTGGACTGGCCGTTTCCTCCCTCGTGCCCCCAGATATTAACTACCTCCATCCCAATTCACCTACTCAACCCACTCGCGTTCCCTCTCCTCACCGCGGCCCGCCCCGCCCCGCCGTCCCCGAGTGCGCTTGGCTCCCACCCGCGGTCGGAACCGAGCTGGGTCGGTCCCTGAGGTGGCTCCAGGAGAAGCCGAAACGCCTGGGGAAGTGGCTTCCCAGCCGCGCGGAGCGGGGCGACGGGGCGGCGCTGCGGGCCGACGAGTACCTTCCGCCTGGGCACCGGCCGGGCCCGCTCCTCAGCTGCGTGGCGCGGGGCCGCGGACGGGGACACGCCAGAGTCTTGGCCGGGCCCGGCGGAGGCCCCGCTCCTGGTCCTGCTCCTGGTCCGGGACGCGGCGCTGGTCCTGGGGGCAGCCGCGGGGTCCAGCATGGCTGCGGCTGCAGCGGGCAGAGGCGCCGCCCGCCAAGCGAGGGGCAACAGCGAAACCCGCCGCGCCGCGCGGCCAGGGATGCGGGTGGGAGAAGCCGGGCGGCAGGACACGGCCTCGCCCAGACTGGCCCGCGGGCGCGAGGTGGAGCGAGACAGCCCCGCCAAGGGCCCGTTCCTGCCGCCACGCCCCTAAGCCCGTGTCTCTCCGCTTCAGCCCAACGGCACAGCCGACTCTCCCGCCTGCTGTTTCAAGACAAATCTCGCGAGAAGCGCGGTGCCTGATGGGAAGCGTGGTTCCAAAACCCTTGACCTCCAGTTCCCCGCTGTGGGGTTGTGGTGGAGTTACGGTGCCTGCCTCGCGCATGCGCACTCGGCTAGGAAGAGTTGAAGGCGTGTTGTGCTGTGGGGCTCTCCGGAGCTGCGTGGTCTGGAAGAGGCGGCTCCCGGGGAGCGGGTTCCGTCTGTGGGCATCACACCTCCCTGCTCTGGGGGGAGGCCTGGTTGCCGCGCTGAGCCCCACAGGAATCATCCTATAACTGGGCCTCCCCGCCCCAGTTAAGGGGGGGCCTGGCAGCTTACCCCAGCCTGATGCCTCCTGGGCTTCTGGAGGTTGAGCTTACTTTAGAAAAAGGAAAACAAATGCATTAAGTCTCTGCTCCCTGCATCTTTCCCAGATATGTTAAGGGTCTAGATGACTTAATACAGAGGGTTTCCCTAGGCACTCTGGCCCTCTGCTCCTGCCATCTGAGAAACAGTGGTAGAGCTCTTCAGACCCTGACCTGTCCTGCTCTTTCAGCAATACTCGGAGCACTGAACTAGATCTGTGAAACTTGAAAAACAGCACTGGTAAATGTTCAGAGAGATACTGTTTAGCAGCAGGGATCCAGCTTTTTCCATCTGCTGCAGAAACATGGATTTTCTCCTGTAATGGAGAAAAATGTGGATTTTCTTTTTTAAAGGTGAAAAATCACAGATTTTCTCCTTTAAAATAGAAAAATGGTAGGTTCCCTTTGGAGGCTGGCAGAGTTCCAGCCTACAAGGGGCTGCAGGTAGATGGAGGAGAGCAATCAAGGCAGGGGTACCATGTGAATGTGTGTGCAAGCTCATGCACATGCCAGTCAGGCAGCAGTGGAAAGCAGCTTCTGAAGCTCCCTGCAGGTAAGCTGACCACAAGCCACACAGGTATGGGAGGAGGGGCACAGGCCACACACTGGGAGGGTAGTGGGGGCATGTGCCCCACAAGATTTCTGCACCCACAGTGGGTACAGGGCTGCACTGGGGCTGGATCAGCTCAAGAGGAACTACTTCCACAGCCCAGCATGAGACCCAGCATGGGAGGGAGTGCCATGCTGCCATGGCGAGGCATGGTGGTGCAGAGTTGTGCCCTAACTGCTGCTGGGTGGATGGGGGGCACCTCACCTTGGCAGCCATGGTGGTGTGGTGCAACTGCCAAAATATATAGGTGGAGGCCAATCGAATTCACAGCATAAGTAGAGTGTGGTGGCTCCTGTAATCTTGCATATTCCCCTGCATGGACCTTGTCCTCTCTTCCCCTCTGCTGATTAACAGAGAACCCTGCATCTCCCTCCTGATCAGGGAAGCTGAAACCGTGCTTTTAAACATGTTTTTGCCTCCCCCTTAGTCAGCAGCAAACAGCAGGGCTGTCCAGGGCCCCTCAGCCAATCCATGGCAGGAGGCAAAAAACAGTGCAATATTTAAAACCAGTTTTCACCTCCCCACTGGTCACGAATGAAAGGCAAGGAGGGGGGCTCTCCAACAAAAAGTAGGATGGGAAGCGTGGGGGAATCTGCAAGGTTAAAGGAGCTACAGTGCACCCCACTTCCACCATGAATTTGGTAGGTCTCTACATAAAAGTAAAGGAAGAATAATGCTAACTGAGAAGGCATGTTTTATGCAACAGGGATACAGCTGACCATTTCCCAGCTTCCTCTGCAGGTTCTGGAGTGCAGGGCAGCTTCCCTTCCTTGCAGCCCCTCCCACCAAAGTTTTCCCTACATGAACTTTGAAAAAATGGTAAGATGAGTTTCATTGTCTCTGCCAAAGCAAAGGTTTATCAGTAAACTGGTATTTTTCTCCTTAGCAGCCACCCCTATGAAGCAGCAACCAAGTCATCTATTTTTGGCACGTGCATCATGAGAAGCAACAGCTGGCCAGATTCGGGTTTTAAAGCATTCCTTTTCTAGGAACTCTGTTTTTGTAATAGCACGTACTGTATGCCAATGGGATCCTGGTACGGGGCTGGGTCTTCAAGGTGCTGTAATAATATAGATAAATAATGGCTAGGCACTGATAGCCTTCACAACCTGCCATGGCTTTTCACTGTATGAATCGGAGAAGAGGCACCTGACGCAGCTACTACTAGTAACAGAAGGGACTGAGCGGCTGGGGTAGGAACCTGCCGAACAGATGAGCAGGCCGATGGCCGCAAGGTGCCTGTTTTCACACCAGGGCCCGTCACCTCCCGCCCGGAGCTGACAGCAGCGAACGCGCGTCTCTCAGCAGGTCTGGATTTCCCACGCTCCCGAGCCTACGGAAAGCCGCGCCAATAAGTCCCGAGGCCAGCCCGCCACCGGGCTTGCCTGGGAACCTGGTTCCACCACAGCCGCTTATGTCCGCCGGACGACGTCTGCACCTGCGCAGCGCGCTGCATTGTGGGACTGGCGGCCGCGGTCCCCGACTGGTGGCTGTCCCGTCGCTTTAGAACGGTGCGGGGTGGGTTGTGGGGCTTGTAGTGACGCAGGCCACGCGCCTGCGCGCTGGAGTCCTGAGAGCTGCGCACTTCCGCCGCCCGCTCGACTCCTTCTTGGGTGGGGCGTCCCGGTGCATGGTGGGACAGGAGGCCACGGCACAATACAGCCGCGGAAGCTGCCTTGGAGCCCAGTGCATTGTGGGTACTGTAGTTCCACCGTGCACTTGAGCACCTAGCTGCGCGTTGCTGCCGCCCCCACTTCCGGCCCGCGCCCGCCGCCTTGTGGGCCGGGTAGTTCCGGCGCGGGCGAGCCCGCCCGCGCGGTGCATTGTGGGCCAGGTAGTTCCGGTTCCCCTGAGCGGGCGGCGTTGGCGGCGGCGAAGGCCGCGGTTGGCCTTGTGGGAGCTGTAGTTCGGCGCGGCCCCGCG